TTCAAGCTGTGCATATCCTACTTCAGGAAATGCTGTAAATAGCAGTGAATACAACAGTTCTATTTGTTTCTGTTCATTTTAAGGAAAGCACTTCGCTCCAGTGTAACCCTTCCTCTGTTGCGCCGTCCTCTTGTGAGGTCACCTGTGATGCTGAATACCCTCTCTGCAAAGCTTGAGAAGCTGGCATAGCCAACAAGTCTAACGCGAAAGGTTTTAAACTGTGATAAAAACTGTCACTCTTATCCAGCCAGAAGTCTGTTCCTGTGTCCGCAGTGATGGGATGTGAAAGTTCTTCCTTGTACTTGATGATCTGCCGCCTGATGCTGGTTGTGGAGGTTTTCTGTTTAGGCCTTGTGGTGCGGCATTTTGAGAGGAACCTAAACACCGGCTGCTTTGAGGATGGCGCTGCTTCTGGTTCCTCAATAACCTCTTCTTCTGCATCATCTTCAGACTGGTCCTCCTGTCTTGTGTGAGGGAAAGTGCATTTGACCACATAGTCTTCTGCCTGTTTCAGCAGTTCCTGGATATTTCCATCAGCCACATTAACATTAACAAGGATTTCACAGACAGTTGGGTTGACAAAGCAGGCAGCTGCTGCAAGTGCTGAGAACTTTTCATCGGCTGAATCCAAGAGGCAAGCAAAACGCTGGTTCAGATTTGATCTCATTTTCTCTGCAAGAGTGGCAAGGTCTCTGTACCGAGTGTTCTCTGCAAAGTCAGTTAGGCGGCTCAGCAGATCAAAGAGGGCAGGAACCACTAAGGACATAGATGCAGTGTCACTCTGGAGGGTTTTAGTGTGTTCCGCAAAAGGCAGCAGTAAGTCATGCAATGATGAAAGCTTTTGCCACTCACTAGTAAGCAAACTGTCCCATCCCATGTCATTTGTGATTTGACAGACTGCATCTTTGACTGTGAGGAGTCGTGCGACCATGTTGAATGTGCTTGACCAGCGTGTGGGGCAGTCATTTACAACAATAACACCACAGTGGTCCGATAACCTCTGTGTTGCAACTGAGGACTTGCGAAAGAGCTTCACCACATCACCACCATGTCGACATGATGGTACCTAATAACAAGAAGAAAAGACAACCATAGAAGTCTAAACCTAATAAATTGGCTGGTGTGTGTCTGTACATACTGTATATATGTAGTGTGTGGCAGGGGGAAAACCATTCATGTGATAATTGACTGTGATGTAAAAGAATAAACTAAACATGGCTCACTGCTGTCATCAATTTCAGAGTCACTTTCCATCGTGGACCCAGGGGAGTCATCCTCAGAGCTGGTTTCTTCTGCTGTGGTGTTTTTAAAGGCTGCCACCATGTTACTCCCATTGTCCGTTCTTACCGTCAGGATCTTCTCCTTTGGTATGCCCCACTCTTGCATACATTTGTCCACACATGCCTTAATAGACTGTGCAGTGTGTGGGTGAGCTACTTGTTCAAGGGCCAACAATATGTGTACAGGTTTACTTTGTTCAACACAAAAGTAGCGTGCGCTTATAGCAAGGAAGGAGGCTGTCAGTCCTTTTTTTGTCCACAAGTCAAGGCCAATGGAAACTCTCCGGGCAGCAGCCAGTCTCTCTTTGAATTTTTGTCTTTCATGTTCATACTGTGTTTCAATCAAATAGCTCATTTTAGTTTTCTTTGGAACTGTTAGTCTCCTATCTACTATCTCCATCATTAGCACAAAGTCCTCGTCTTCAATTGTTGTGAGTGGTAAACCTGTGCGTCCAATCCATCTAGCTATGGCCTGCTCCTTGGTCTGTTGTTCCTTCCATTCAGTTTTGTACTTTGAAGAACTTAGGAAAGCTGTAGAGATGGCCTGCTGCTGGGTTGCACTAGCAGCACTAGCTTTATTTCCACTTGGCCTACGGTCATCTTTGTCATCAGATGTCTTCTGTATCTGTGAGGGTGAATAAAGGGGAAATCAAGTTGTGTTTTTTTTTGCCCAATCTCCTCAGATCTCTCCCTCTCTCTCTGTCTCTCACTCACACACCCTTCGTCCAGTCATATAACGCCACAACATCTAACGTTACTATAATACACATTTTACACATTTGATTCAATTTGAGGACATTTAATATTTATGCTCATATTAATTCAGCGAGACAATCGTCTAATCAATATAGCTCAAGCTGGTTTCCTTTAGCTTCTATTTTATTCCAAGTTTAGCGGAAACACGGTGGTTTATCTGATAAAATAAGCTTAGCATGTATGCTTACTTTCGCGTGTATTTCCGGATGAGTTGTCTGTAAATGTCGCTTCAAGTTGGTGCTGTTTTTCCCAGAGATCTTTGCTCCACACGGTTTACAGGCGGCCATGAGATTCGCTCTGATTGGATTTCTTCCAAACTTGTCCTACAAAAAGAGTAGTGATGATTGAATCTCTTCTCCATTCGTCCCTCCCTAATATTTTTGTCTAATTTTTATTCGTTGACTAAAGTGTCAGTTATATTTCGTCACAGTCTTCGTCATCATATCTGACTTTTTATTTAGTTTTTATTTAGTTTTCTTCTGTGAAAAAGGTTCGTTGACGAATATTTTTCGTCATAGTCTTCGTCAATGAAATTAACACTGCTTGGTGGTTTTATTTCCTTGTTCTGTTCTGGTGGTCTGGCTTGGAGCTCATCCTGCATGTAAGACGAACTTGCCCCTTGTACATTGAGTGCGAGCTCCCCTTGCTGCTGGGTCAACTGTCTGCTGGTCATTATATTTACTGCATGTCAGCTAGTGTGTGTTTCACGGGGTCATTGATATCTCAGCCAGCCTGTCTCTTTGTGCTTCACATTGTTTTAATACCTTTTTTTGACTTGCCTTCAGGGTGCTAGAGACCTGTTGTTGAATTTCTTGGCACCACTGAGTATCTGAGGGTTTTCTGTATGTAGGTTAAAAATGATACTGTAGATTGCATGTGCTTCATTTATTTGTAGTATTTATTTAGACAATATGTCAGTACTTCAAATATTACATTTATTCATTTAGCTGACGCTTTTACGCTATACATGTCAGAGGTCACACGCCTCTGGAGCAACGAGGGGTTAAGGGTCTTGATCAGAGGCCACAATGGTGGATGTCTCACAGTGGGAATCGAACCCAGGTCTCCCACACCAAAGGCAAGCATCTTATCTATGCGCCATCACCATCCCCAGTATATAGATAGATAGCTAGCTTGAAAAAGGGTGTCCCTTTTCACAAATAGTTCTGATTGTCCTTGTATTTTAATGTTTTGTGAAAAAACTAAATTGAACTGAGCTGCATCGTGCAGTGACAAAGACTAAAACTAAACTAAAACTAATAAAAACTAAACTAGCAAAACCAAAAAGTCAAAACGAAATAAAAATAAAAACTAATGAAAAATCCAAAACTATAATAACCTTGGTTAACACATCATCTCTACAAAACTGCAGATGGTGCCTGTTGCCTCCTCTAAGCCCAGGCTATGGAAGAGGTCCCAGCTGTTAAAGGAAAAGCCGCCTTTTAAGGTCTCAATGCCATCATTGTTCCAAACATGTACACTTTTACTTGTGCTCTCCTGCTTTTGAGCAGGGACTTGTAGGTGGGAATTAAATGGACAACATTATGGTGAGAGGTTCAAATGGGGGTTTAGTATTACAGTCTAGATATTGCTTCAAACCAGGCAGCACAGCTTCAGCTTGCAATGGTTACAATCACCAACAAAAAAAGGCCCTTCAGGGGTGTGTTTCAATTGTCTGTGAAAACAGTCTGCTAGAGTGGAATTGGAGATACTTTGGAAGTATTATGGATATACATGATTCAAATTCTGTTCTGTCTGTTTTTGTTTATTGTGTTTTATCTGTAGTGCTTCATTTAAAGTTGCTTCTATCACCACTTCAACAAATCCAGACTTCATCATCACACTGCAGTTTAACAGTGTGTGACTCCCTCTAGTGGACGTTGTGGAGTATTCTGTTGTCTTTGCTCCAAAGGTTTTTGTACAGAATTTTGGTGTTTCCTGTCACTGTGGGCTGCAGAGCACAGTAGTACACAGCAGAGTCAGACAGCTGAAGCTTCTGGATCTTCAGAGGAACTGACTTATCCTTGATTGTAGCATTAAATCTGTCTTTCGTGAACTCTGCAGAAAAATCCGTTGTTTGTGAAATACATTTCAGCATGTACTTTGGAGACTCATTTACTTCTTGTTTGTACCAGAACAAAGTTGGACTTCTGTCACTGGTCTCAAAAGTACAGTCAAGTGTAACTGTGTCTCCTTCAGCAGCAATGACATCTCCTGCTGGCTGGGTCACTCTGTCTTCTCCTTTACACTCTGGGGAAGAAGAGAACATGCAGAGGAAGAGATGGATCAATAAAGATGATTGATTAAAGGAGAATCAGTAGGTTTAAAGAGTTACCTAGCCAGAGAGTCAGAATCAGGATGTTTCTCAGCCAGTGGTTCATGTCTGCAGTGAGAGGGGAGGAGAGAGAGGAAGAACATTGATACTCTGATGGATCTGGGCCTTCACATCATTGGCCCTTCCTCTTCATCATCTGTTGTCTTTTCTGTCCTTGAGTCCCAGTTTTGCTCCTCCCTTAATCCCTCCCTCCTTCCTCTCACAACTCTGACAAATAGTGAGTTTGTCTCTGCTGTGGTGCTGTTATTCACTCAATGACATCATTTCCATCAGATAACAAGTAGCTGATAAGGTAACACTGATTGACTCTTGACAGAGCATGTGAAGGTCCTGACTGAGGTCAATCTTTACGCAGACGATATACAACCATTATTATTTCAGTAATGTTTTTCAACCTGACATGAAAGGTGGAGGTGTTTCATTGTGTTGAAAGGTACACCAAAGAATCCTGCTTGTTAACAATTTAAAGACTTCCTGGGTCTTCTTTCTTTCTTTCTTTCTTTCTTTGCTCTGTTATTTAAACAGGTGTTAGTATTTTTTCTGTCTCATAACTGGTGACTTTAACCTTCATATTGACGATCCCAAAGAAAAACCTGTCAAAGAATAAAATCAAATCAGACTCAAAGGTGTTAACAGATTGTGATGCCCTCAGCTCCTCTGGCAGGCTGCACACTAAAGGCCGCCTCCCCGTAGTTCTTTGTCCTCACTCGGGTAACAACTAAAAGACCAGTGCCAGAGAACCTAAGAGATCTAGAGGGAGGACACATTAAAAGTACATCTGACAAGTTTTCAGGCGCTAATAAAACCAACAAAAAGAGCTTAAAATCTATTCTAAAACTGACAGGCAGCCAATGCAGGGACTTTAGGTGATATGTGTGCTCTCCTTCTGATCTTAGTACATGTACTGCTGCATTCTGAATGCTTTGTAGCTTATTTATAGCTTTCTTAGGTAAAACAGAAAAGACAGCATCAATATGTGCTGAGTAAATAAAGCTGCCTTGCCTTGTTTTTATACTTTCATGGTCGATCATTACTTGGTCATCCATAAAATCTCTTCTGTAAACTGTTTCACGGACCCTGATTGTTTTACAAAGGTTTTAATCTCCAGACTGGATCCTGTTTATCTGACAGATGCAGAGTCAGAGCCTTGACATCATGTGTTTTTGAAGAATGGACATTTGAGTCATTTTCTCCTGAAGGATCAAACAGCAGTGGAGAGATAGGACTCCCTTGGTGGAGGACTCTCAGCTGTTTTTGGCTGTCAGAGGATTTTCAGTGTGATAGTCTCTTTTATATTTACACCTCATTTTATATGAAGTTTAACAGTGTGAGACTCCCTCTAGTGGACGTTGTGGAGTATTCTGTTGTCTTTGCTCCAAAGGTTTTTGTACAGAATTTTGGTGTTTCCTGTCACTGTGGGCTGCAGAGCACAGTAGTACACAGCAGAGTCAGACAGCTGAAGCTTCTGGATCTTCAGAGGAACTGATCTTGAGGTGGAATCCAGTGTGGATGAAAATCTCTCCTTAAACTCGCCCTCTGTTTTTACTTCGACCCCTTGCATGCGGCTCAACATGAATTTGGGGCTGTTGTTTCCATCCTGTTTGTACCAGAACAAAGTTGGACCTGTTCTACTCGTCTCAAAAGTACAGCCAAGTGTAACTGTGTCTCCTTCAGCAGCAATGACATCTCCTGCTGGCTGGGTCACTCTGTCTTCTCCTTTACACTCTGGGGAAGAAGAGAACATGCAGAGGAAGAGATGGATCAATAAAGATGATTGATTAAAGGAGAACAATCAGTAGGTTTAAAGAGTTACCTAGCCAGAGAGTCAGAATCAGGATGTTTCTCAGCCAGTGGTTCATGTCTGCAGTGAGAGGAAGAACATTGATACTCTGATGGATCTGGGCCTTCACATCATTGGCCCTTCCTCTTCATCATCTGTTGTCTTTTCTGACCTTGAGTCCCAGTTTTGCTCCTCCTCCCCTTAATCCCTCCCTCTTTCCTCTCACAACTTTGACAAATAGTGAGTTTGTCTCTGCTGTGGTGCTGTAATTCACTACATGACATCATTTCCATCAGTTAACAAGAAGCTGATAAGGTAAAACTGGTTGACTCTTGACAGAACATGTGAAGGTCCTGACTGAGGTCAATCTTTAGACAGACGATATACAACTATTCAATTACACATGACAGCCACGTTAATTACTTATTCAATACATTACTCAAACAGTACTATTCACATTATTACATTTGTCACATTTTCGGACAAATCATATCATGAGACGTCTTTACAAAAATAAATTGAGTAAACTAGATGTTAAGCTCCAGACAGGAAGCATATGTCAAATTTTCCTTCTATTGTTTCATGCTTGATCATTACTTGGTCATCCATAAATTCTGTTCTGTTCTGTAAACAATTTAATGGACCATCATTGGTTTACAAATGTTTTAATCCAGATTGGATCCTGTATATTTGACCAAGGGCATCGTAGTGGGGGGTGAAAGCATTTAGCAATTATAGTCATTGCATAGAAGTAAATGTTGAAAAAAGGTTGAAATGTGTTGACATTTCGGATGACATGTGTGTTGGAGGGGGGTTTTGGGGGGTGGGGGCAGTGGGTAATGGGGGTGGGGCACAGGGACTGCTTACAGAATTTGTACAACAACCCGGTATATCTGACAGATGCTGAGTCAGAGCCTTGACATCATGTGTTTTTACAGAATGGACATTTTAATTATTTACTCCTTAAGGATCAAACAGCAGTGGAGAGAAAGGACTTCCTTGGTTGAGAACTCTCAGCTATTAGGCTGCTGATAGTCTCTCTTTATATAAACACCATCCAACATCATTATCATCCTTTGTCGGAATTGATTTAAAATAACATTTCAGAACTTGTAGTATCTTCCACATGCTGCTGCTGCATTGTTTTGTTTTGTTTAATCACCAGCACCACAAATTCAGATCATAAACCACTGAAGTTTAACAGTGTGTGACTCCCTCTAGTGGACGTTGTGGAGTATTCTGTTGTCTTTGCTCCAAAGGTTTTTGTACAGAGTTTTGGTGTTTCCTGTCACTGTGGGCCTCACAGCACAGTAGTACACAGCAGAGTCTGTCACTGCAGCAGAGGAGATCTGCAGATCCATTTGGGTTTTATCATCACTCACTTTAGCAGACCATCTAGAGTTTGTTGCATTTTGTGTTCCCAAGTGAAAGATGAGGAACTCTGGTGGTTTTCCTGGATGCTGTAGATACCCGAAGAAATAATCACTACCAGTTGCTTGTTTAGAGTATGTGTAGGACAGAGTAACAGAGCTGCCTTCTAAAGTGAACTCTTCATTCCTGACTGCAGTGAGTTCTTCACAGCTGACACCTGAAGGAAGAGATAACTCTGTTATTTCATGTTGTAAAAGACTCAACAAATGAATCCCATCCAGAAAAGTTAGTAATGAAACTTTCTCAGCAGGATCTCACATACCTGTTAGAATGGATAGTAACAGTAGAGAAAGTACATAATAGTCCAATGACAGCATGTTGAATAAAGGGAATGTTTCTGCTTTGTGTATTGAACTCTGCTGAATATGGAAGTTCCTCTCTCTTCTATAGTTCACTAACAGCTTAGCTCCTCCCTCAATCTCTCCGTCTCCTCGCAGCTCTGTAGGTTATAGTGGCCTCTAGTGGTAAGGGCTGTGAATTGCAACCTGATATTAACCAATGGCACACTGGCTGCTCCCCCCCTCCCTTTGGAAGTCTATAGGAGAAGGTGGTCGACTCTTTGTCTCTGTCGTCTCTTGTGCTAAATAAAACGTGTGGTCCTCTATTTGTCCAAATTGGGGGCGGCTGTGGCTCAGGAGGTAGAGCGGGTTGGCCGTTAATCGGAAGGTCGGCGGTTCAATCCTGGCTCCCCCTGGTTGCATGTCGAAGTGTCCTTGGGCAAGATACTGAACCCCGAATTGCCCCTGGTGGCTATTCCGCCAGTGTATGAGTGAGTGTGAATGTTAGTTTCCGTTTGAGCACTTAGGCTCAGTGTATGACTGGTGAATGCAGATGTAGTGTAAAAGCGCTTTGAGTGGTCGAAAAGACTAGAAAGGCGCTATACAAGTACGGAGCATTTACATTTACAAATTTCTCTTCTCTTCTGACTTCTAACAAACCAGACGACTACTGTTACTGTTACTATACTCTTCTTTTTTTCTTCGTACGTTTTCAATGTAGTGACTAAACGGGCTCTGTAGAGCAGTTTGTCCGTTTGGGCTACTGTAGAATCATGGTGGAGCCGCGGTGTATGTAGATACAAGTGTCTCATTCTGAGGCAATAAAAACATTACGGTTCATTATGTAAGGTCTTTCTACACCACTGAAAACATAGTTATGTACAGGGTGTGATTTGTGTAAAAATCAGAGGGGGGATGTTTTATTTTCTTCATGAGAAAACTCCCGCCCCCCCGATTTAAAAGCCTTCACTTTCAAGAGCGTCATCATCGGCTGCCTTTCCTCCAGCACACAGCTCCGCTGCTCCCCGGAGCACATGTCTCCTGACTGTTGATAGGCCATTATTCGTGACTTGTAACCAATCAGATAGAGCCGTGGGCGGGACATTGATCAAGACTCCAGAGTGGTAATTACCCACAGACAGAGAGCGGCAGCTGGACCAGAGCAAAAGTAGAGCATTTTATAAATTCTGTCCCCACCAGGGACAGAACTTATTCAGCAGAGGCAGGGATGTATAACCAGAAAGGGGAAATCCCAAACATCTTTTAGTCTGTCAGCTTCTCTTGTCTTTGCCGCTTAGTCTCTGTCTACAAGTCCAGCCTTCTAGTCCTTTCCCAGTGTTTTCTTGGGTTTTGGATTTTTGGCCTGATGTATCGGATCTTTTAGGAGTTTGTTTATTGCCTAAGTCCTTTGGATGTGTTTGCTTTTTGGACTGTCTGCCTGTTTGGCCCTTGGCCTGCCTCAGCGTGCTGTAAGTCAGGGTACTCGTACAGGGTGTTATTATTAAACCATAAAACTGAACCTGCCATGCCTCTGGTTCTGGGTCTGGGTCTGGTCCACTCCCAGGGAGGTCATGCAGAGACACCCCCTCCCAATGAAAGGCTTCCTAGAATATAAACATTTTTAATGGTTTCATTTCTAAACCTTGACCTCACAATCCTCTCTAAGAGTAGAGTAGATCAAGACTTTATCATCACACTTGAACTTTAACCTCTTGCTGAGCTCTGTTTCCATTCAGGCTGATGGGTGATTTAGAAAATGAATTTAATTCCTTTATTTACATTTATTCATTTAGCTGACGCTTTTATCCAAAGCGACTTAAACGTGTTATATATGACAGAGGTCGCACGCTTCTGGAGCAACGAGGGGTTAAGTGGTGGATGGGTCACAGTGGGGAGTTGAACCCAGGTCTTTCACACCACAGGCATGAGTCTTATCCACTGCACCATCACACCCCCTATTTGTCAAAAAAAACACAATAATGCTTCAAATACAGTCATTGCAGTCACTATATAAAATGAGTATAAAAATAAATAGAAACTTTTTAAACTTACATACCCCCACTTCCCCATCTCCACCCACTACCCATAATGCTCCTGTGAATCCTCCCCCAGTGTTTCATTAGCAGCTGGAACCACAGTGACTCTGATAAAACAGGAATTAGCAGAATCCATCTGATATGAAGCTGTGGTTTGAATACCACTTCCCTCCTCTTTGAAGAGTAGTCAGATATCTGGGTTCAGGTTTTTGTACAGCCTCTTCTACACTTTGTATCACTGTGTTTCTAGAGCACAGTAGTAGAGAGCTGTGTCTGCCAGGGTTAGATCTCTGATGGTCAGTGTAGTTGATGTTGCTGATGTTTCAGATTCATATCGTTCATCAGGAATATGTTCACTACCACTCTCTGATTTTGCTCCTTTCCAGAGTATAAACTGAGGTGCCTGAAGGTCAGAATGATGTTTGTACCAGTGAAGGCGAATATTAGTAGCAGCTGTCTGATAGTTGCATGTGAGTGTGACAGATTGTCCTTCTCTTTCACTGACTTCCTCTCGTTCAGGAGAGATTGTGTCTCCAGCTATTAGTCCTGGAAAAAGTAGAGCAAATGAAGCCATTAGACTAACATTGTTCATGAGGCTGAGAGGAGAAGACAGTGGAAAATGGCAGCTGTACAGTGTTACTCTGTGGACACAAACACTCCAACACTCACCTATGAAGTGAGAGCAAAGTAAAAAGAGGTAAAGCAACATGTCTTTGGAGTTGTTAAAGCCAGACAGACAGCAGATGAGCAATGTTCTTCCACTGCAGTAGAATGAAGAAACTAAACAGCCTCTCTGCTGCACAGCCCTTCTCCTCAACATCAAGCTGATTGTGCTTTTAGTTCCTCAAACATTTCTGCTCTGGAGACGCAAAGAATCTCATTGGTTGAGTTGGACTTCAGTGGGGGGGCCTGTTTTTGAACCACCAACGTTAAAGCTATAAAATATTTGTGCGTCCAGCAGATGTTTGCTTCTGGGAAATGGATCAAACTGAAACTGCAATGTACTGTCATCATTGTTGTCCACACTGGAGAATGTGATGAAGGAAAAAACAGTAATAACATACAGCAAGGGTCGGCTATTAAACTTTGCATTGGAGCAGTTTATTCAACCGTTAGTTTGTGGGTGAGAATATGACATAATATTTGAAGTCATTGTTATGGTGTTGGGTTAGCTAGGTCGGTAAGGTGTAGGACTGTCACTCTTCAACAAATGGATTCTGCAGCGAATGTTTCTCCGATCACAGCGTGTGCTGCAGTGTTTTTGTTTTGGGGTTTGATCCTCATCCATCAACCTGGACTGGACTGTCCGCCTGTTTAGACCTTGGCCTGCCTCAGCTTGCTGTAAGTCAGTGTACTCTTCTATTATTAAAACCATAAACCTGAACCTGCCATGTGTCTGGTTCTGGGTCTGGCCCACTCACTTGTGTTCCATCACCCGCTTGAACTTACTATGACACAAGGATATTGTCTCCGTATGTTCCCTTGACTACTAGAATTTTGTGGAAAAGTTCATTTTGTTCTGTAATTTAAGTCCAAAGTTAAACTTTCATGTATTGTAGGTTAATTACACGTAAAGATAAACTTTTCAGGCCTTTTTTAAAATCTTGAAGATCATCTCACAGCTAATTACATGCTATTATGCACAGCAAATAATGAATTGTGGACCTGAGAAGAACCTTTGCCTGGTTCAGACGTCTGACTTGACAGTTGTCCAGAAGACACTCATTGTCCACAAGGAGCCACAGAAGGTCACTGCTGAAAGGGCTGGCTGTTCACAGAGAGCTGGATCAAAGCATGTTCGTGGAAAGTTGACTGGAAGGTTAAAGTGTGGTAGGAAAAGGTGCACAAGCAACAGGGGCGACGAGGAGCTTCACAGGGAGTGGACTGAGGCTGGAGTCATCGAGATCCACCAGGCACAGACGGGTCCAGAAAATGAGCCTCGTGTGTCACATTGCTAGTGTCAGGCCACTCCTGAACCAGAGATAGTCAGAAGAGTCTTACCTGGGCTAAGGAGAAAAAGAACTGGACCGTGGCTCAGTGGTCCAGAGTCCTCTTTTAGATGAAATCCAGGTCCCAGAGTCACAAGTGGAGAGACACAGAATCCAAGTTACTTTAAGTCCAGGATGAAGTTTCTTCAGTCAGTGATGATTTGGGTGCCATGTCGTCTGCTGGTGTTGGTCCACTGGGTTTTATCAGAAAAATATATTAAGAGTCACTTAAAGTTATTAATTATCAATATGTGTCTTATTTGTCCTCAGGACTAAAATGTCAAGTTGTATAAACCAGTTTATATTTTAGGAATAAAACAGCAGTGGACAGAGAGGACGTCCTTGGTGTTTGTCTCTCAGTTTGTAGAAGTTTAAGTATTTGTTGTGTGATTCTCTCTGAAAGTTTAACAGTGTGAGACTCCCTCTAGTGGACGTTGCAGAGTATTCTGTTGTCTTTGCTCCAAAGGTTTTTGTACAGAGTTTTGGTGTTTCCTGTCACTGTGGGCTTCACAGCACAGTAGTACACAGCAGAGTCAGACAGCTGAAGCTTCTGGATCTTCAGAGGAACTGATCTTGAGGTGGAATCCAGTGTGGATGAAAATCTCTCCTTGTACTCGTCCTCTATTTTCCCCTCGCCGATCTTAAAGCGGCTCAGTATGAATTCAGGGCTGTTGTTTCCATCCTGTTTGTACCAGAAGAGATAATCATTTGATGAACTGCTGTTATATAGACAGCCAAGTGTTACTGTCTCTCCTTCAGCAGCAGTCACGTCTCCTTCTGGTTGCAGCACGTTGTCTTTTTGTGCTCTGCATTCTGTAAAACAGCAACAAACAGTATCAGTGTGCTGTTAAAGAATCATGTCAATGTTGGATTGATATCAGAGAACCAGAGTTGTGTTCATACCAAGGCACACAGCAGCCAGCAACACTGAGATGAACAGAGGCGTCATATCTGCAGTGTTGAGGAACTGTGAGCTCCAGCAAGTATAAAGAAGGCTGTGATCTCTCTGTTTAGTCTTCATCAACACTAAGTTGGTGGATTAGAAGGAGGAGCCTGATCACAGTGACGGGGCTCATTCACAGCCCTGTGTTATTCCCCGACTGACAACTTTACACTCAACACATTTTCCTCACTCTCTCCTTTCCTAGTGTGACAATTAGGATCAATTAGTGAATGTTTTTAATATGGTATCAGCATCATATTAAAGGCCTGTCAGTTTGCCAGCCTGTCCACAGCTTCTCCAGATAAAGGGCTAAAATATGAAGCCTGTTCAGAACACATAAGGATCTCCAAAACCAGCTCGGTGGTGTCGACCATTTCAAACAGGATGTTCCACTGAGAGCGAATGGTTAAGAGCTGCTACCACCAGTTTACCACAGTGAAAGTAGAGGCTTCAGCAAACACTCCCTCACTCCCACAATGGGGCAGTCACGTCCTTTCTAGACTCTTCCAAGGGCTGATTTAGGTGCTTCCATCTCTGGAGCTGCCGCATTACTGACAGTGAAAGCAGAGATGTTTGTGTTAATTATGGTTGGACATCTCCCCCTCTAACAAATGAAGGCAGTCTGTGCAAACATGGAGCTTATTCTGTCTCCAAACACTGGTGTGAAACTGGTCATGACTCAGGCTTTGGAGTGAAACATTAAGGTGTTTGTCCATCCTTGTCTGGATGTGAAAGTGCAGTGGGACTCTGGCCGACGTTACATACCTGCTTATTATTACAAGGCATCAAACTTACAGTCCATAATTTATTGAATTGCAGTCAGATGTATTTGAACTTTTTCTTTAATGAGTCTTCTGATATAAAGAATCGAGTCAAGACATCTTTAAGTATTTTATTCTTTGCTTGAGAGCAGGCTTTGGATGCAAAGCGGCTAAATGGTTCCACAGTTACCTGACCATTGTACAATTGTTAAACATGGCAACAACATCTCAGATCCAGTCCTTGTTAGGAAAAGTGTTCCACAAGGCTCAGTTTTGGGACCCTTGCTTTTCCTAGTTTACATTAATAATGTTTGTGATGTTTAAATTCTGGAAGGATCATCTGTATGCAGATGAGACACTTCTGTACTCCTGTGCCCCCACAGCAGAGTTTGCCTTTTCAAATGTGCAGGCAGATTTTTATACCCTGCAATATGCTCTGTCAGATTTGAAGATGCTTTTAAATTCCCACAAAACTAAAGTTATGATTTTTGCCACTGGGCGAACAAAGGTACCACCCCTCTCCATCACGACCCTGTATGGAGTCTGTATCCAGTCTGTTGATAATTACAAATATCTGGGTATCTGGTTTTACAAAAAACCTAAATTTTAAATACCATGTTGATTATCACGTTGACTTTTCTGTATAGGTGAAAGTCCTGCTTTTCCATGGCTTTAGAAAAACACTTAGTTGCTGGCCTTTTTCCGCCACAGATTGATTATAGGGACACTACCTACAGGTTTGCCTCTCTGTCCACCTTGTCCAAACTTGACCCCCTTTATCACTCAGCTCTCAGATATACATCATTGTATATTGGACAGACTGGAAGGATGGTCATCCCTTCACTTGCAAAGATATGTTAGGTAGACTTCCAAATTATTTAAACAGGACATTTTTAACTTTACAAAGCAGTCATGAGCTCAGGTCACATAATGGGCTACAGTTCAAAGTGCCTGCTATCAGAACCAGGGCAGGTACTCAAAGTATAAAAGGGGCACATGGAACAAGGATTTAAATAGGGCTGTTCTCAAAATATTGATACAGAAATATATCGTTATGTATTCCTTACTGATATGCGTATACTGATGCTTCTGTATTGATACATCAGCGAATGGTATGACACAGTTTTGAAAAAGAAACACAGGGAATACCCAGCTCTTGCTTTAAACACTGTGGGCTGTTGATGGTGTTGCTGGGGATGTTGCTGCTGATACTACTGGTGGTGATCTGTGACTATCGATATTATAACAAACTTAGGAGATATTAGCTGATTAAACAAATATGTGACCATGACAAGATGTTAAGATTGCTGACAGTATTTGGAACTGGCTCACAGTGACTGACCTGCTGTAGTGCTGCAGCCGCTGCCAAGGCTGACTGCTACGATAAAATAAGAGGGAGATGCTGAAGAGAGACTGCTGAACACCAAAAGCTGCAGGTAGAGGAAATAAGATACCAGGTTCAAAACTGTGTGGGAAATGATCTGAGAAGGATACAGTACTGGGAGAAAGGACGAGGTCGGTCAAGGCAGGGTTAAGAGTGAGACAAATCTATAGACAGGTGTGTGCGTGTGTCTATAGGCAATATTTTGATAATGATATATTTCACTGTGACATTTGAAATTCTTTATTACATTTATTTAATCTTGCTTTAGCATATAAAAAGCATTCAAAATATATTTTCATGTCTGCCATCTCCTTTTACATGTTGCTACATCGCGAACCCCATTACCCATAAACGTGAAATAAAAACAAATAAAAAAAACAAATAAAGGAACAATTACTAAAATAACTGACAATGAAAATAATAATAATTTGAAAACCTTTCAAAACAATTATTATATTTGATTCTATTCTGAGTTTCCACTGGTTGTCCTCTGTTCGTGGCATCCATCTATCTCTCACTTTCACTATCTCTTCTTCACTACCTCTTTCACTGGCTCTGTCTTTTACTATCTCTATCTTTCACTATCTCTTTCACTATTTCTTGTTCACTATTTCTTTTATTATCTCTTTCACTATATCTTTCAATATCTCTATCTCTTAACTATCTTTTCTGTATCTCTTCACTATCTCTTTCACTATCTCTTTCACTGTCTCTGTTTTTAACTATTTCTCCTTCACTACCTCTTTCACTATCTCTTCAGTATCTCTTTCCCTATCTTTTTCACTATTTCTCATTCTTTCATTATCTCTTTCACTATATCTTTCAATATCTCTATCTTTTCCATATCTCTTTCACTATCTCTATCTTTAATTATCTCTTTCACTCTCTTTTTCACAGTTTCTGTCTTTCACCATGTCTATCTTTCACTATCTCTGTCTTTGACTATGTCTTTCACTTTCTCTGTCTTTCACTATCTCTCTTTCACTCTTTCACTATGTCTACCTTTAACTATCTCTGTCTTTCACCATCTCTTCAATATCTCTTTCACTATCTCTGTGTTTCACTGTCTTTTTCACTGGCTCTTTCTTTCACTATCTCTTTCACTGGCTCTGTCTTTCACTAGGTCTTTGTTTCACTATCTCTTAAGTATCTCTCTTTTACTATCTCTATCTTTCACTATCTCTTTCACTATTTATCTTTCACTGTCTCTGTCTTTCACTATCTCTTTCACTGGCTCTGTATTTCACTATCTCTCACCCAGAGCCTTAAAGCCAACCAACCCCGTGACATTGCAGGTTATAGTACTGCACAATGGTGGCGCCCTTTCTGTGAAAGATATGACAGTTCTTCTTTTCTTTTGTCTTTTATACGTTTACATTTGTCATGTTTCTTGTATAATTGTCGATCGTAGTGGAAATCCATTGTGTAAATGATGTAAACTTGATTGACTGCTTCATTTCCCTTTAAGGTCTCAATGCCATCATTGTTCCAAACAAGTACAGTTTTACTTGTGCTGTCCTGCTTTTGAGCAGGGACTTGTAGGTGGGAATTAAACGGACATTATGGTGAGAGGTGCAAATGGGGGCTTAGTATTACAGTCTACATATTGCTTCAAACCAGGCAGCACAGCTTAAAGCTTGCAATGGTTACAATCACCAAGCATTTCAATTGTCTGTGAAAACAATCTGCTGGAGTAGTATTGGAGATACTTTGAAAATACTATGAACATATTCAAGTTCTGTTATTTGTTTATTGTGTTTTACCTGTAGTGCTTCATTTAATGTTGCTTCTATCACCACTAAAACAAATCCTGACTGTATCATAAACCACTGAAGTTTAACAGTGTGTGACTCCCTCTAGTGGACGTTGTGGAGTATTCTGTTGTCTTTGCTCCAAAGGTTTTTGTACAGAGTTTTGGTGTTTCCTGTCACTGTGGGCTGCAGAGCACAGTAGTACACAGCAGAGTCAGACAGCTGAAGCTTCTGGATCTTCAGAGGAACTGATCTTGAGGTGGAATTCAGTGTGGATGAAAATCTTTGTTTAAACTCTTCCTCTGTTTTCCCATCATCCTGTTGAACGCGGCTCAGTATGAATTTGGGGCTGTTGTCTCCATCCTGTTTGTACCAGAACAAAGTTGGACCTGTTCTACTCGTCTCAAAAGTACAGTCAAGTGTAACTGTGTCTCCTTCAGCAGCAATGACATCTCCTGCTGGCTGGGTCACTCTGTCTTCTCCTTTACACTCTGGGGAAGAAGAGAACATGCAGAGGAAGAGATGGATCAATAAAGATGATTGATTAAAGGAGAACAATCAGTAGGTTTAAAGAGTTACCTAGCCAGAGAGTCAGAATCAGGATGTTTCTCAGCCAGTGGTTCATGTCTGCAGTGAGAGGGGAGGAGAGAGAGGAAGAACATTGATACTCTGATGGATCTGGGCCTTCACATCATTGGCCCTTCCTCTTCATCATCTGTTGAGGAACTCTCAACATTTACATCTCATTTGCATCTCATTTACATCTCAGCTGTTTAGCTGATGCTCTTATCCAGAGCAGCTCATAATGAGGAGCTTTAACATGTGAACTTTCTGTTACAACAAAGTCTCTTTAACCACTTTTCACCCTGGAATAGTTAATTCATCAACATGGGTCTGTAATCATTTTAGTTTGTCTCATCATCAGTGATACCAAAGCATTCTGTGTAGAAGAAGACTTCCTTGTGGAGTGCCTTACTGTACAGAAATAGCCTCAATTAAACACCATGATCTGGATTAACTGTGTTTTATTAATAACAGGAGTAATATTGTAACGTGTCATTAGATTGTGTTGTCAGTGTCCACTTGGTGGCGCTGTTGTTCAGTAAAAGGAGGAGCTGAAGTGAGTAAATCTTCAGAGGAGCTGTCAGGTTTTTGTACAGAGTTTTGGTGTTTCCTGTCACTGTGGGCTTCACAGCACAGTAGTACACAGCAGAGTCTGTCACTGCAGCAGAGGAGATCTGCAGATCCATTTGGGTTTTATCATCACTCACTTTAACAGACCATCTAGAGTTTGTTGCATTTTGTGTTCCAAAGTGAAAGATGAGGAACTCTGGTGGTTTTCCTGGATATTGTCGATACCAGAAGAAATAATCAGTGCCATCAGCTTTTTTAGAGTATGTGTAGGACAGAGTAACAGAGCTGTCTTCTAAAGTGAACTCTTCATTCCTGACTGCAGTGAGTTCTTCACAGCTGACACCTGAAGGAAGAGATAACTCTGTTATTTCATGTTGTAAAAGACTCAACAAATGAATCCCATCCAGAAAAGTTAGTAATGAAACTTTCTCAGCAGGATCTCACATACCTGTTAGAATGGATAGTAACAGTAGAGAAAGTACATAATAGTCCAATGACAGCATGTTGAATAAAGGGAATGTTTCTGCTTTGTGTATTGAACTCTGCTGAATATGGAAGTTCCTCTCTCTTCTATAGTTCACTAACAGCTTAGCTCCTCCCTCAATCTCTCCGTCTCCTCGCAGCTCTGGATTTTCACTTCTCTCTGTTCCACTTCCTACCTTACCAGTAAATTCCACAGGATGTGAAAGTTTTTGCTTATTTTCTGTAAATGAGACGTAGGTAACACTTTATTTTAAGGTGATTGTAATAGGCAGTAATTAACAGTTAATAAGACACTTATAAGACCTTATAGGATGCTTATAAACAACAATAGAAGTGTTAATTAAAGCCTAATAAACTATTAATTGATTAATTATTGCTTATAAGACAATTATAGGCCTTTATTAGAGCTATAAGTTATATATACCTCATGAATGCGAGATTGGACATCACATTGTAATTTGCACTCCTAATACAGCTACCCTTTATACTTCAGTACATTTCTTATTTTCTTAGACAACTAAGATGGTTTGTGAAGGTTTTATCTTGTTCCTGTCGACTTTAAATGTGTATTTTATGACGATAAAATGACAGTTAATTTGAATAGAATCTGGTGGGTTTGGCGATTTCAGGGATGTTTCATGTTAAAACAAAACGGATCTTACTCTTTAACAAAAGCTTGACCTCAGCTGGGATCCTTTCCATAATGTTGTCAGACACTAAGAATAATTATCTGAGCGTGTCAGTGGCAAAACAAGCACGTTATGGATGGAAACTGAAGGTGTGCAGCGGCATATTAATGTTACATTGTAGCTTGTTTCACGCTGCCACTGCAGCCATCTCTTGGACCAATTTCTAATGTCCAGGATGAGAGAAAACACCCTAAGACATTATTCAAGCTGCTCTAAAAATCCAAGTGCTAAAGTTAGCTTACACGACATGCCTTATTTTATAGCTGCATGCTAACATTAGCTTAAACTACACGCCTTATTTTATAGCTGCATGCTAAAGTTAGCTTAAACTACACACCTTATTTTATAGCTGCATGCTAAAGTTAGCTTAAACTGCATGCCTTATTATAGCTGCATGCTAAAGTTAGCTTAATCTACAAGCCTTATCTTATAGCTGCATGCTAAAGTTAGCTTAAACTACATGTCTTATTTATAGCTGCATGCTAAAGTTAGCTTAAACTACATGCCTTATTTTAAACGACATGCCTTATTTTATAGCTGCATGCTAATGTTAGCTTAAACTACATGCCTTATTTTATAGCTGCATGCTAAAGTTAGCTTAAACTAAATGCCTTATTTTATAGCTGCATGCTAACAGTAGCTTAAACTACACGCCTTATTTTATAGCTGCATGCTAAAGTTAGCTTAAACTACACACCTTATTTTATAGCTGCATGCTAAAGTTAGCTTAAACTGCACGCCTTATTTCATAGCTGCATGCTAAAGTTAGCTTAAACTACACGCCTTATTTCATAGCTGCATGCTGAAGTTAGCTTAAACTACATGCCTTATCTTATAGCTGCATGCTAAAGTTAGCTTAAACTGCATGCCTTATTTATAGCTGCATGCTAAAGTTAGCTTAATCTACAAGCCTTATCTTATAGCTGCATGCTAAAGTTAGCTTAAACTACATGTCTTTTTATAGCTGCATGCTAAAGTTAGCTTAAACTACATGCCTTATTTTAATCTACATGTCTTATTTTATGGCTGCATGCTAATGTTAGCTTAAACTACATGCCTTATTTTATAGCTGCATGCTAAAGTTAGCTTAAACTAAATGCCTTATTTTATAGCTGCATGCTAACAGTAGCTTAAACTACACGCCTTATTTTATAGCTGCATGCTAAAGTTAGCTTAAACTACACACCTTATTTTATAGCTGCATGCTAAAGTTAGCTTAAACTGCACGCCTTATTTCATAGCTGCATGCTAAAGTTAGCTTAAACTACACGCCTTATTTCATAGCTGCATGCTGAAGTTAGCTTAAACTACATGCCTTATCTTATAGCTGCATGCTAAAGTTAGCTTAAACTGCATGCCTTATTTATAGCTGCATGCTAAAGTTAGCTTAATCTACAAGCCTTATCTTATAGCTGCATGCTAAAGTTAGCTTAAACTACATGTCTTATTTTATAGCTGCATGCTAAAGTTAGCTTAAACTACATGCCTTATTTTAATCTACATGTCTTATTTTATGGCTGCATGCTAATGTTAGCTTAAACTACATGCCTTATTTTAATCTACATGCCTTATTTTAAACTACATGTCTTATTTTATGGCTGCATGCTAATGTTAGCTTAAACTACATGCCTTATTATCCAACGAAGGTTAAAGTCAAGGGCAACTGGACTTGGTTGAAGATACTGGAAGACGTTTCGTCCCTCATCCAAAGGACTTCTTCAGTTCTGACTGACTGGCAGGGAAACTCAGCTATTTAACCTCAGTGGGGTCGTTATCCCGGGTCATCGATACCGCTGGTTCGTTAGTGTTCCTTGTCGTTAAGCTCTCTCTACATCCTGTTGTTATAAATCATTTTTAAACCCATCTCTAAGCTGCCATTTCCAAAGAAATCATTTGAGTGGAGTCAATATTTCCTAAAATCTTATATTAATTTTAGGAAATATTGTGTATATAGTATGTAGCTGTAGTACCGGAGGCTGCAGTTTCAGGACCCTTGTTTACTTTGATACTGCCAGCTGGCTTTGTTACACTTGACAGCCCACCGAAGCCAATTACCCTTACCACAACCATCACAGAGTGTCTGCCTAAATTTAAATTATTAATTATGTGCATGTCGACCGGTTAACCCTACAGCTCTGGACATCAGCCTCACGGCCAACGTGCTAGCAGACAGCGTTAACCTCCTTCATGTTGCTGTGGATTACCACCACCACTCCACTAGATGGCGCTGTCGCAAAATAACTGAGGCCCTGGGATTGCGGGGGTCCTGAAACTGCAGCCTCCAGTACTGCATGCAACATAATATTGATTCAAAGAGGTCCAGTTAGAGAAATTTCACCAAGCAAACATCCGGAACATCAACTTGCATTATCATTCAGTAGCTATCACAACGTATGGCCTAGCTGTATCACATATATAACATATTTACTGTCAGTTTTTACATAAAACTGAAGCGATAATAAATAACTAATAATAAATTCTAAATTGAAGTAATCGAAAGTCTAAATTTAAAAAACGTTTTTGTAAATGTGCATCTTAATATAAATTAATTTTATTTGTTGCTCAATTCAGTTCAGAAAAACAAAATTAACTAAAGTGTAGCTTTGAGTGATCAAAGTGTAGTCTCAACCAAAATTATAATTAACACTCAACACATCTTAACAAACATCCCTGTGACGTCACAGAGATGAAAGCTAAACGCGCCTCATATAACGCTCGCCAAGCGGCGACTCGGACACGCCCTCAGAAACAGCGAGCTGCAGCACACAGCTCTCCTCTCCCTTCCAAACACTAGCTACCCTCCAGGCAGTCAGTGGACAGAAAGTTGTTCCTGTGATGTAGAGACAGAGCTCAGTTAAAACTTTATGGATACAGATTAATAACTCACCGCTCTGAAACTCTCGCTCCAGTCCATGTTGCCAAGCTGGTCGGCAACACGTACGGCTGAACCCGAGCCGTTTACCGGCTTCTTGCCGACCCGCCCTTCTCTGCTTCTGATTGGCTAGTTGGTTTTGAACTGCCCGTAGGAAGAATGTACATGTGAGACTCTGTACATTCTTGGTTAAAAGCCATGTGAAGTCTCTTTTCTCTTTCGTCTCATCTCTTCCTCTCTGTATCTCACTCGTGGACTCTGCTCGCAATGCTTATCAGAATGGACAGATTTGACTGGCTGAGCAGCATCACATGAGCTGATTGGAACACATGCAACTGAATACACAGCTGGCCAATCACAGCGCAGAATAGGACTCGCTCTAACTGAAGTCCGACACTAACTATAATGTAAAAAGAGTTATGCTGTATTTTTCTAAGATATGATATATCTATGATTTCTAAACATAATTTTAGTCCACAGAACGTTCTGCTATGGAACAATAGATTCATGTTGTGCAAAAGAAAATCTATATTTATGGACAACTGGATGGAGAAACAAATATGGTCAATTGTTGGATATATATAAAGTTGGATATAATCTGGATTGCTGAAGGTGTCATAAAACATTCCAAAGGCTCTTATTCAGTTAATTAAAAATAATGTAGAAAACACACCGACCTCCAAAGTCCAAAATATAAAGATAGGCCAAGTTGACTTTTTAAACCAAAAATGTAACAATGCCTTCCTGAGGCAACATCTGTAGAATACAATGTAACCTGGCTTCACAAGGAGAACTTCAAACCCTGAAATATCAGCTATTAGAACAAAATATCTTTAATTTCCACTTCTTCCTAAAAACAAAGAAATGCAGTTTAAAATTCTAAGATTGAAATGTGATGTAGAAAACTGTCACCTATGCAACACAAATGTAGAAACAACAGAGCACATTTTTTATGTTTGTGACTAAAGTTTATGGAAATCCTTACATGACTGGTGTAATGGAAATTTGTCCTTTAGTGAGTCTTCTGAAATGTGAGATGAATGAAAAAGATTCCAATCCAGACGAGTGTGATCATTTGAATGGAGACACTTTTCTCAATAGCTCCTACAATCAGACCTCTGGCACATGGAATGATGCAACATCCACAGAGAGCTACAGCAATCATTAGACCTGCTAGTGTGGGCATCACTAAGGCCTTTTATTTAGCAAACACAGAATCTGACCGGTCGAACATGTTAGTGTCCACTTCAGAGTTCTCTGCAAGTTCTTCTCGTAGGGAACGCAGTCCTTCCAGCACTCAGTTCACCGAACCATCTGGAGCTGTATTGTTGGGCACAAACATACAGCAGGAGTTATTAAACATTAGCCCAGCATCCCAGCCTCTTTGGGTGCTTCTCTTGCCTCCAACACTGCTATTTGATGTCAATGCCTGTAGTTCACTGTGGTGTTCTGTCGTGGTGGCTTTTGTGCATCACGCTTGTGATCTAAGAACTGCAACAGAGGCACTGTTCATGCTGTTGCAATGGCAGCAAACATCTCTGTTGCTCCTCGTAGGCCACACATGTCTGGGTGTCTGACTGGGTCCCATGACGTCTCCTTCCAGAGACAACCATGCTACCCACTCTTCATTTTTTGCGGCGTCACTTAAATCAGCAGTGGTGAGACCAGGAGTTTTCCCACTAGCTCCCTTGTGCTGATGTTTGCTGTCTAACAGCCTGTGAGTCCGAGACAAAGGGAGCCTAAGCGTTCCCAATCCCTCCTTCACTCACAACACGAGGTGCTGATTGTGCACGCTTGTTGATCTATTGTTGTACTGGTGCAGGCTCCTTCCTGCAGTGGCTGGCGTGAATCCACGTAGCTCTTTCAGCCACTTTTACCGCTGTGTATGTTGTCAGGAGCAGCTTTCCACCTCTGCGCTTTCCAGTGCTTTCTTCTGAAGTCCTTAACCACCACAAAAGGAGACTCTAGGAGACTGTGCAGTGGTTCTGTCGCTGGAGAGGGTAGGGCCTCTTTAACCTGCTGATGTAGACGGGCAAGAGCAGAGGACAAAGTCATTCAATCATTCTCACAGTGATGTGTGTCAGGCGGTACTCTGCTCGCTGCCTCTATCCCTGTTCGTGGAGGGCGCCCAAAAAGAATCTCAAACGGGCTCAAACCTGACCTAGTTCTTACCCTCGTTCTCATGTACATCAACACCAACGGCAACGCCTTTGTCCATGGAAGACCTGTGTCTTCACAACATTTAGCTAGCTTAGCTTTTAATGTTCCATTCTCTTTTTCTACTGCTCCACCGCTCGCTGGGTGGAAGGAACAATGTTGTCTCAAATCAATGCCCATATAAGAGCCAAGTGGTTTGATGGCTTCACTTACAAAAGGTGTGCCGTTGTCACTGCTGATTTTAGAAGGCACGCCCCAGCGCGGCAAGATCTCAGAAATCAGGGCTTTAGCTCCAGCTGCACCGTCTTGTTTTGAAGTTGGAAAAACCTCCATCCATTTGGAAAACATATCAACTATGACCAAACAGAACCTTTTGCCTTGACTCGGGTTAAGCTCAAAAAAGTCCATCATCAGGTGATCAGATGGTTTATCTGGCGTTGGGTGTGCCGCTAAGGGAACCCTCAATCCTCTCCCTGTGTGTGTTAGGCAGATTGAGCACGTTTGGCAAAAGTTGTGAGCGTATGTTGTGAAAGCTTTCATGAACCAGTGTTGCTTTAGTTGATCGAACATCCCTCCCTTTGACACATGATGCAACCCATGTGTCAATTTAGCGTAATGTGGAAAAAAATGTTTGGGTCAACATGGTTTGTCATTGGGACCAGTCCACAATCCATCAGCATATTTACAACCAGCCTGTTGCCATGTGCGCTTCTCATCTGATGGAGCAAACTGTTGCATAGCATGCAATGTCAGAGGAATATCTGTGTCTGTGTCTGCGTGCAGGGGTGTGTGTGTGTGTGTCAGGCCCTGTTGAGCTGCGGTGCGGGCAGCTGCATCAGCTTTGGCGTTACCTGTAGAAACAAAGTCTTTTGCATCAGTATGGGCATTTGCATACAGAAATAGCAGACGGCAACATCACTGCTTCAAGCAATGCAGCTATTTTATCATGATGCAGAATAGGCTTACCATCAGATTTTAATGCACGGTTGCAAATGCATATTGAGAATCTGTGTAAATAGTTACTGATTTGTCTTTGGCCAATTTACAAGCTTCAGTGAGTGCAACCAACTCAGCTGCTTGAGCTGAATAATGAGATGGCAAGGGGCCAGATTTCAGTGTCTCGTGCTGACAACCTTGATTTTTCCTGTGTTAACATTGCGTGAAGCAGACCCGTCATCAAAGAGAATCAGGTCTGGGTTAGTTAGAGGTGTTTCAGACAGATCTGGACGTGGAGTGCAAACCTGCTCAAGCACAGCAACACAGTTATGATCTTCTCCGTCTCCTGGAATGGGGAGCAAAGTTGCAGGATTTAACATTACACAACAACATTACAGCGTTTGACAGCGATGTTAGGCATATCCAATAGAACAGTGGTGTATCGGAGCCAACGTGCTGTGGAGAGATGAGAGGTCTTCTGTTCAAGCAAGATCATAGAAACCGCATGAGGGACCAAAGGGTTAAATCAGAATAACCAACAATGTGACGTGATGCCATGACAACGTGGTGACCCTGCAGCCACTGGATCCAGTTTTGCTGAAAGAAAAAGCGACTGGTCTCAGTCTGTCACCATGTTTCTGTAGTAACACTGATGTCTGTCCATTTTGGAAACATGTCAACTATCATCAACAGCACTTATTGCCTTTGCTTGGGTTTAGCTAAAAAGCTCCCTCATCAGGTGGTCACATGGTTCTTCTGGGTGACACTCTGCTCTGTGTGTGTGAAACAGCCTCTGAGCTTCCAGGCTGTCTGATAACACACCTCACACACATCCCATAGTTTTGCATTCAGTTCCCCCTTTTCTCTGTGGAGGAGAGCGCATGGGCAAAACTCTGGACCATGCTAAAAAAAGGGATTTAAACAAGAACATCAAACAACAAGGAACGAGCAGGCGGCATTCTTTTCCTGTAGAAATGGGGTCAGTCTGTTAGCGTGCATCACATTTTATCATCAACACGGCAGCAGCTCACAAAGAAACATCCAGCGTGACATAAAGCAACAGACACAGCAAGCAACACGACAATAAGCACCAGGCATCCGGTTCGCTTCCAAGATGTAGCGTCAGAACAGGTCATGTGATCGTCCTGCGGTCAAGTCAAGTAAGAACGCAGGTCAGGTCTTTGTCGTCCCCGAGTACAGGTAGACTATAGAGAACCATTTCAGTCAGTGAGGCTCTGTCAGCTCAGCTTCGTCAGCTCAAGTCAGTCAAGTGCACTGTTAGTTTACCATGAATCATGGGAGAAAGCTTTCTCTTGTTTCAGTAATGGGATCCCTTGTCCATAAAATCATCATCACCTCTTTATGGTGATTGGTTTTGGCTTGTATGCACTGGGGAGAGAGCTTTACTCTCATCCTGATCACATTCCCAGAGAAGTTATTCTGTCTATTGGAATTGCAGTTAGAGACAGACAGACAGCCTTGTGTGTGGCCATTGTGGGCGAACCGCTTTAGCAACACAATGGTCATCTCAGCACGCTTCGTGTGATGGACTGCAGAACGGAAACCGACCAGCCGCGCGGGAAATGTAACATTTTAAAAACAGACCTTTGTCAAATCACCAACAGAGAAATGTGTGGTCTGTGATGTAGCCAATAATGTGAAATCTTTAAACCTGTAGTGCTCGCGGCTGCACTAATGCATTTACCAGCACTCTGTCGCTCTGCTGGTCGGCCTTCATCACAATCTTTGTGAAAATGTGGGTGCGTACAGGTCACTGCAGCCTGCAGCAGTGAACAAAAGAAAACATGTTTAATATTTGTAAATATTATTTCACACATCAAATCAAACTTTGTGTGAACTACAGCTATAGACTCTCATTCAGTTTGCACCTCAGACATGAGGTCACAGTTTATTGTTTTAACCACGGTGTGTAAAAAGATGTTACAGGAACTAGTTCAATGGTTCTTTTAACCTGAGCAGGACTTTTTGCTCTTTACTGTACAGTGTTCTCAGATTCCAACTTACGGGCCTGTTGTCAGTCAGCCAACTCCGGGTGGACTTTATCCCCAAATCCATCCGTTTGCAAATCACTTGGCTTTGCTTCGCCATGTGTATACTTCCCCCTCGGTACAGCTAAGATCAGAGAAGGAGAAGAAGAAACAAAACAACAGCACAGCCTCCTTGTCCAGATAATATGTTGCAATAGTTCTCTCTCTTTTTTTTCTTCCACTGTCCCTCTTCCATAATAATTAAAACTTGTTGCATCCTGTCCGTCAGAATTGTGTATTGTGCAGAGTAACGAGTCTGTCTGCATGTACCTAAAGGTCTGTGTGTGTGTGTGTGTGTGTGTGTGTGTGTGTGTGTGTGTGTGTGTGTGTGTGTGTGTGTGTGTGTGTGTGTGTGTGTGTGTGTGTCTGTGTCTGTGTCTATGTGTGTGTGTGTCTGTGTGTGTGTCTATGTGTGTGTGTGTCTGTGTGTGTCTGTGTGTCTGTGTGTGTGTGTGTGTGTGTGTGTGTGTGTGTGTGTGTGTGTGTGTGTGTGTGTCTGTGTGTGTGTGTGTGTGTGTGTGTGTGTGTGTGTGTGTGTGTGTGTGTGTGTCTGTGTGTGTGTGGTGTGTGTGTCTGTGTGTGTGTGTGTGTGTGTGTGTGTCTGTGTGTGTGTGTCTGTGTGTGTGTGTGGTGTGTGTGTCTGTGTGTGTCTGTGTGTGTGTGTGGTGTCTGTGTGTGTGTGTGTGTGTGTGTCTGTGTGTGTGTGGTGTGTGTGTGTCTGTGTGTGTCTGTGTGTGTGTGTGTGTGTCTGTGTGTGGTGTGTGTGTGTGTCTGTGTGTGTGTCTATGTGTGTGTGTGTCGTGTGTGTCTGTGTGTGTCTGTGGTGTGTGTGTCTATGTGTGTGTGTGTGTGTGTGTGTGTGTGTGTGTGTGTGTGTGTGTGTGTGTGTGTGTGTGTGTGTGTGTGTGTCTATGTGTGTGTGTGTGTGTGTGTGTGTGTGTGTGTGTGTGTGTGTGTCTATGTGTGTGTGTGTGTGTCTATGTGGTGTGTGTGTGTGTGTCTGTGTGTGTCTGTGTCTGTGTGGTGTGTGTGTGTGTGTGTGTGTGTGTGTGCAGTGGCGTCACTCATTAGTGCTCTGATAACTGAAATAAGTGTTTAGCAACTATGTCATCAGAATTCATCAACATGATGCCATATATGCAACCTGCCCCTCTCTGGGCTGTTTTCAACACATCATGTAGCAGCATTGTCCCCTGCTAGGTTTAAATGACACTTTCTAAAACTCTTGGTGCTTCTCATTCATCACCAATGTAGGCTGTTCAGGCTCATCAGCATTTACTAATAACTTAATATCATTTTTGTTGTTTCATTGTGTTTAAGATTTTATTTTTCTGTGAGAAATTGTGACTCACCCGGTGTGTGTGTGTCCCAGCTGTTTCCTGTCACTGGCGTCCGTCCCGCCCCCTCCAGCTCAGTCCATTTGGATCTGTTTTGGATCTGTCCAGACAATCTCTGTGTACCAATGTCCACCTTTGTCCACTGTACTGTCCGTTTTCTCGTACTGTGACGGCTCAGAACAGAGTTTTTGATGGCTGTTTTCTCACTTTTGTCCTCTTTGTGTGAATCTTCAGCTTGCAGGTTCTCTCGTCTGTCACTAAGACGCTGTGAAATTCGGCATCTTTGTTCCAACAGCAGTTTCTGGCCTTGTCCCGCTCAGAACATGTTCTTTTCCGATGAACTTTATTTCAGACCGCTGTGACCATAAGGTGATGATCGTGTGAAACTTGGAGAGCTCTACATGATCTGTTCTTGAATGCAAACATGTTGTGATTGGCCTGCAATTCTCCAATGATGACATCGCTGTACTGAGTCCATTCTGTGCTCCAGCCTACTTTCTTGTGAAACTAGAGTGAAGTATTTTGTTGAGATTGTAGAAATCTTGCAGGTCTCCAAAGTGGAGTTGTTGTTTGAGCTGGTTTGCTACTCAGCTGTCTTTAAGTCATTATGGCATCCTTTGATAAACGCTCCAAACTGCTCCAATTGCATGTGAGGCTGTCACGTGACCCGTCGCCTCAACAATGTTCCAAATACCAAATATTCCTTTTATAATTGGCATTTCCATGACTGGGCAATACGATGTGTTGCATTACTGTTACCGGAGCAGAACAGTGCTTCTGTAGCTCTTTAATGTTGCATTAGTTCATCATCTCTCTCTGGCTTATGGTGTCGTGTTTCAGCAGCAGTTTTAACATCAGCATAGTCTTCATCCTTGGATGGATCTGGGACTGGAGCGTATCGGAGGAGGAGGAGCGGAGTCCAGGACTGGATCAGCCGGAATGGATTCCATGACTTGTGTACCTCAGTTAAAGAAGAGATAATGTGTTAGTTTGTCTTACGGTGTCTTTTTAACAGTTTCCTTTTATCCTTATTTTATCTAGTCAAATGTTCTGTTTCCCTTAATTCTAGTTTTATAGCAATCTGCCTTAAATTGTAGGTTTCAGCTTGTTTTTTTGTTTAGTTTTTTTTCCTCTGAACAAGGCTGCCTGCTCTTCTGCATCTCTCCTTTCCTTTCTCTTCAAACATGTCTTTAGCTGCTCCAAATATATATTTTTGAACTAAAACTCACATTAACACATTTCAACCCACTTATCAAATTGTCCCATAGATGTTTTATCTTTTCAGTCATAACTTTTACAACTGGCAGAAGGATTTTAGGAGCTGTTTTCCACTCAGTTTACCAGTTTTTACTCCAACACATAACCTCATCTCTAATGTATGTCTCTCTATGTTTCACACTTTCCTTCACCCTCATTGTGAGGCATTTATTTGGCATACTTCCTTTGCCTTCTCTTACTCTCTGATCCTGTCTTCCACATGCATGACGCTTTCAAATGCTTATGTTTAAAATCTTCTTTGTCTTTTTACCCTTAAAAAAATCACTTTTCTACCTGATGTAATTGCCTCAAACTGAATAGGAAACAGAATTAATTCACCAATAATTCTATGTTTTTGTCATTCTTCACCATATTTCTCTTGCATGCATTGTATGATAGGTGAAGAATAATCAGGTCTCTCACCTTTGCTTATTTTGCTCGTTTGACTTCCCATCTCCCACACTATCCTTCTTTGCTTGTACAAGTCTTTTAGGGACTCTAACCCTTTCCTTAGATACAGTCGTCACTGTAAATCCAGATTGTTTACGGCTACAAACTCTGGCAAAAGCGGTCGACAGTGGAAAAAAACAGTCCTCTTCACAGCCCTGTTAAGACTCCAAAATTGCTGGAACAGCGGAGAAACCCTTGTTTTCCTGTTTTTATTTCAAATATTTTTAACTTTATTATTATTATTATTATTTATTTTATATATTTTTTATTGCTCCTCTTTTTGTTCCTTTTTTTTTTTCTGCACAGCCCTGTTTAAACCCCAAAAGGAATTAAAACAGCGGAGAAAAATGTATTTCTGCACAGCCCTGCTCAACCAGTTAACAGAGGAGAAAAACTTGCTTGTAATTCTGCTCGGCCCTGTTAACTAAGGATCCACGTGTGAGATGGTACAATCAAAATAGCAATCTTAAGCTGAAAGTCTAAGAAAAAACAAAGACAAACAAATGCAATTTAATAGTTTATTTCAGACACTCACCGTTTTTAAGGACAACGTAGGTCCAACTCTTTTTTGAGATGGTAGTGGCAACGGTCCGGGGCGCGGACGGTCGACCCTCCCGTCTCTTAAGTCAGCGAGGTGGAGGCTGAGACACTTTACTCCAGGCTGATCAGTCGCCGGCCGTCTCAGGTCCCAGACAAACTTTGCCAAACCATCCCACTTCTGACACCAAATGTAATGGAAATTTGTCCTTTAGTTTGTCTTCTGAAATAAAGAGTCCAATCCAGACGTCTTTTAAGGGTTTTATTCTTTGCAAAGGGTCACACAGACAGACAGAGTGCAACCAGTCTGCAGAGTGTAAGACAAAGAGCCAGTGTAGAAGCAGGTGACTTTATACTGTAAGGGTATTACGCAGCTATCCAGGAGAGGAAGGGAGTAGGGACCAGCTGTCCTGAGATGAAGGCCTATCAAGGACAGTCTGATAAGAAAACTCTCTAACGAGCATCTTTCCCATGGGAAACTTCACCTAGCTGTAACATAATCAAATAATCAAATACCACACAGTGAAACCTTTGTATAAAATAATGAAGCATGCAGGGTGAAACAGTAAAACAGTAAAATATCACATTTCTATCACACTGGCTGACGTCCAAACTCATAAAGATAGATTTCTTTTCTTTCACATCTGTCCAACTAGGTGTGGTCCTAAATAAGAAACAAATTAATTTTCTGATCAATAATACCATTATTATTACTAAATATTATATACACATGTCACTTTGTGAAATCCCCCCTTCTTGGAATGCACTTAGAAATGAGTTCTCTGTATTAATTAAATCTATAAGAAATGTTCAAAGCTCCCCTGCCAGAAAATTCTGTTTACTTCAGAATATGATTTGATCTCTAAGTTTTGTTAATTTTAACTATTTAATGAGTGAGTTAGTTATTTTGTTTGTTGTCTATAACTTCTTTAGTGTCGTGTCTATTTCTTCTGAGATGATTGCTTTGAATTAAGTCCAATGTTATTAATTACTTGGGAGGTGAATTACACCCTGGACTTGAAACATGGTTTGATCTGTACCGTGTAGAGTTTGTCATTGTACCCACTACCCATAATGCTCCTGTGAATCCTCCCCCAGTGTTTCATTAGCAGCTGGAACCACAGTGACTCTGATAAAACAGGAATTAGCAGAATCCATCTGATATGAAGCTGTGGTTTGAATACCACTTCCCTCCTCTTTGAAGAGGAGTCAGATATCTGGGTTCAGGTTTTTGTACAGCCTCTTCTACACTTTGTATCACTGTGTTTGTAGAGCACAGTAGTAGAGAGCTGTGTCTGCCAGGGTTAGATCTCTGATGGTCAGTGTAGTTGATGTTGCTGATGTTTCAGATCCATATCGTTCATTAGGAATATACTTATAATTACTCAGTGATTTTGCTCCTTTCCAGAGTATAAACTGAGGTGCCTGAAGGTCAGAATGATGTTTGTACCAGTGAAGGTATACACCACTTGCTTGTCTGATAGTTGCATGTGAGTGTGACAGATTGTCCTTCTCTTCCACTGACTTCCTCTCGTTCAGGAGAGATTGTGTCTCCAGCTATTAGTCCTGGAAAAAGTAGAGCAAATGAAGCCATTAGACTAACATTGTTCATGAGGCTGAGAGGAGAAGACAGTGGAAAATGGCAGCTGTACAGTGTTACTCTGTGGACACAAACAGCTCAGCTGTTTCCATAAATCTTTAGAAAAGAATAAAAAGATGTTGTGCTTTCTATCTTACCAAAGAAAAGAGCAGCAAGAATAATCCCCAGCCAATGTTCCATCTCTACAACAAGGTTTAAATCAACAGGAGAAACTAGCTGATGTTCAACATTCAGTCTGAGAATTGTTCTCTTCACAGCAGCAGTTATTATTGACAGAATGGTTGAACACAGTGCAGAAGTAGTGCACCGCCTACTTGATAATGTGGCTCAGCTTGGATTAACAGCAGCTACAGTGTCATCTAGTGGCCAATCAGAATCAGACCACAGAAGAAGAAAAGATGCCACTGAAACTTCATACTAGTCCAGCAGCATAATCCAGTTGTCAGCTGATGATCTGTTTGTTCAGCATTTTCCAAACTCAACATAGTTAAAGACTCTACTTCTGTGCTGCGTTATCACCTCCCCACATCTCTGAAGTTGTGGATTTACAGCAGCAATTAACAAAGTGATGCTACAAACTGTTGAGTCACCTTTCAAGCTTACAGGTGGAGAGGATTTGATAGTGAAACGAGACATTTTCACTGGAATATTCCTTCAGACTAACAAAACCCACATCTGGATGCTGAGATCAGGTCTAGTTTCTGAGTACAGTCCAGTATCACATACAGAGTCTTACTGGGTTTTACATCCAGCAGCATCAGTGAAGACTCCCCATACTGTCCTGCTTCTTTCAAACTGTGAAAATGCTTTTCTCCAATACTGGAGTACAACAGTACATACATTATATTGACAGTAATACATGAATTTGTTCAAGTTGAAATAAATCCAGACTTCATCATCACACTGAAGTTTAACAGTGTGTGACTCCCTCTAGTGGACGTTGTGGAGTATTCTGTTGTCTTTGCTCCAAAGGTTTTTGTACAGAGTTTTGGTGTTTCCTGTCACTGTGGGCTGCAGAGCACAGTAGTACACAGCAGAGTCAGACAGCTGAAGCTTCTGGATCTTCAGAGGAACTGACTTATCCTTGATTGTAGCATTAAATCTGTCTTTCGTGAACTCTGCAGCAAAATCTGTTGTTTTTGAGTAACTTTTCAGCATGTACTTAGGAGACTCATTTACTTCTTGTTTGTACCAGAACAACGTTGGACTTGCTCTACTCGTCTCAAAAGTACAGCCAAGTGTAACTGTGTCTCCTTCAGCAGCAATGACATCTCCTGCTGGCTGGGTCACTCTGTCTTCTCCTTTACACTCTGGGGAAGAAGAGAACATGCAGAGGAAGAGATGGATCAATAAAGATGATTGATTAAAGGAGAACAATCAGTAGGTTTAAAGAGTTACCTAGCCAGAGAGTCAGAATCAGGATGTTTCTCAGCCAGTGGTTCATGTCTGCAGTGAGAGGGGAGGAGAGAGAGGAAGAACATTGATACTCTGATGGATCTGGGCCTTCACATCATTGGCCCTTCCTCTTCATCATCTGTTGTCTTTTCTGACCTTGAGTCTCAGTTTTGCTCCTCCCTTAATCCCTCCCTCCTTCCTCTCACAACTCTGACAAATAGTGAGTTTGTCTCTGCTGTGGTGCTGTAATTCACTACATGACATCATTTCCATCAGTTAACAAGAACCTGATAAGGTAAAACTGGTTGACTCTTGACAGAACATGTGAAGGTCCTGACTGAGGTCAATCTTTAGACAGACGATATACAACTATTCAATTACACATGACAGCCACATTAATTACTTATTCAATACATTACTCAAACAGTACTATTCACATTATTACATTTGTGTCACATTTTCGGACAAATCATATCATGAGACGTCTTTACAAAAATAAATTGAGTAAACTAGATGTTAAGCTCCAGACAGGAAGATTGTTTGCATATGTAAAATTTTCCTTCTATTGTTTCATGCTTGATCATTACTTGGTCATCCATGAATTCTGTTCTGTTCTGTAAACAATTTAATGGACCATCATTGGTTTACAAATGTTTTAATCTCCAGATTGGATCCTGTATATTTGACCAAGGCCATCGTAGTGGGGGGTGAAAGCATTTAGCAATTATAGTCATTGCATAGAAGTAAATGTTGAAAAAAGGTTGAAATGTGTTGACATTTCGGATGACATGTGTGTTGGAGGGGGGTTTTGGGGGGTGGGGGCAGTGGGTAATGGGGGTGGGGCACAGGGACTGCTTACAGAATTTGTGCAACGACCCGGTATATCTGACAGATGCTGAGTCAGAGCCTTGACATCATGTGTTTTTACAGAATGGACATTTTAATTATTTACTCTTAAGGATCAAACAGCAGTGGAGAGAAAGGACTTCCTTGGTTGAGAACTCTCAGCTATTAGGCTGCTGATAGTCTCTCTTTATATAAACACCATCCAACATCATTATCATCCTTTGTCAGAATTTATTTAAAATAACATTTCAGAACTTGTAGTATCTTCCACATGCTGCTGCTGCATTGTTTTGTTTTGTTTAATCACCAGCACCACAAGTTCAGATCATAAACCACTGAAGTTTAACAGTGTGTGACTCCCTCTAGTGGACGTTGTGGAGTATTCTGTTGTCTTTGTTCTAAAGGTTTTTGTACAGAGTTTTGGTGTTTCCTGTCACTGTGGGCTGCAGAGCACAGTAGTACACAGCAGAGTCTGTCACTGCAGCAGAGGAGATCTGCAGATGAAACTCCTTTGCTGTTTTCTCATGTGCAAAAGAAAAACCTGGTTTCTCTAAATATTCTTTGATGAGAAACTGTGGAGATGAACTGGACTTCTGTTGATACCAGCAGAGGTAGTTTACAGATCCTGAATAGTTGCAGGAGAGAGTCACAGAGTCTCCTTCCAAAGCCAGCATTACATCTTTAAATGGTTTCACTAAATCCTCAGAGGATCCTGAAAAAGACAAAGATAGATTTCACTCTGACATTTATATTTCTTTAAAGTGAGAGAGAAACACTTGAGAATATGCACAACTTTTCTGATCATGTTTAAAATCTGCTGTTAATTTTCACTCACCAGTGTGAAACATGAAGATGATCATCCAAACTAAGCAGAGCTGCATCATTTCCACTTGTACTGAATGAACAATAGAGAGAACACAGCAGCTCTTCACTTCAACATGAAGCCTTTCATATTCAGTTGTGGAGCTCCTCCTCTTGCTGTGCTCTGTTTCCATTCAGGCTGATGGAAGCTTTAGAAATGACAGTGATGCTGCAGTCATCATCATCCAAGAAGGTCAGACTGAAGGAGGAATCTGCAGGAAATTCACCTGAAGGAATCTGGACACAAACACCTGGCTGAAACCTCCAATCTGCAAACTGTACACAACTTCTGTTGGAGCCCGAAACCTGGTTAAACTTAAGATCCCCACTACCCATAATGCTCCTGTGAATCCTCCCCCAGTGTTTCATTAGCAGTTGGAACCACAGTGACTCTGATAAAACAGGAATTAGCAGAATCCATCTGATATGAAGCTGTGGTTTGAATACCACTTCCCTCCTCTTTGAAGAGTAGTCAGATATCTGGGTTCAGGTTTTTGTACAGCCTCTTCTACACTTTGTATCACTGTGTTTCTAGAGCACAGTAGTAGAGAGCTGTGTCTGCCAGGGTTAGATCTCTGATGGTCAGTGTAGTTGATGTTGCTGATGTTTCAGATTCATATCTTCTATCAGGAATATGTTCACTACCACTCCATGATTTTGCTCCTTTCCAGAGTATAAACTGAGGTGCCTGAAGGTCAGAATGATGTTTGTACCAGTGAAGCCAAATATCAGTAGCAGCTGTCTGATAGTTGCATGTGAGTGTGACAGATTGTCCTTCTCTTCCACTGACTTCCTCTGTACAGGAGAGATTGTGTCTCCAGCTATTAGTCCTGGAAAAAGTAGAGCAAATGAAGCCATTAGACTAACATTGTTCATGAGGCTGAGAGGAGAAGACAGTGGAAAATGGCAGCTGTACAGTGTTACTCTGTGGACACAAACACTCCAACACTCACCTATGAAGTGAGAGCAAAGTAAAAAGAGGTAAAGCAACATGTCTTTGGAGTTGTTAAAGCCAGACAGACAGCAGATGAGCAATGTTCTTCCACTGCAGTAGAATGAAGAAACTAAACAGCCTCTCTGCTGCACAGCCCTTCTCCTCAACATCAAGCTGATTGTGCTTTTAGTTCCTCAAACATTTCTGCCTGGAGACGCAAAGAATCTCATTGGTTGAGTTGGACTTCAGTGGGCGGGGCCAGAGAATCCCCTTTTTAGAGATTGGCTGTCTACCAAAGTTCAGTTCAGCCAGTGAGATTATTTGTGCATCCAGAGCAGCTCTGCCTCAGAGAAATGTTTCCTGAATGTCCACTTTCAGTTCTTCACACCACTGTGAGACCGAGGCAGGTCCCACTAGAAGGAAGCGTACCTGAAGACCTGCTCTCTATTCTGGGAACATGGAGGACATTTCATTAGGGACGTCCTGATCAGGTTCTTTTGTCCCCATACACAGGGCCGGCCATAAGGGGGGGGATGGGAAAGAATTCTGGGGCCCTGCTGCTAGGGGGGCCCTTGCAATCCAGCACTAATGATGTTCATTCTAAATATAAGGAAAGATAACCAAATTTAAATTTGAACCAAAAAGCTCACCATTACTTTTTAAAATAACAAAACATTTTTAAAAAATGTAATGTTGCTTCAGTAAAATACAGCCTGTTTTATGAAGAACCCCCCCTCCCCCCCTCCTGAAAATGGTATGAGTACTGTTTGTTGTACACAACATCAAAACATCAAAAGTGCACCCATGCAGCAGGCCATGTATGTGTTTATGTAGGAGATGGAGAGAGAGAGCACAGCATGCGTTGACATGAGTAAAGCAGATTTGCAGAGGGCCCATTTACTGGACCTTCTCAGAGGCCCAGTCATTTCTGTGGGCAGGCCTGTCTGTACAGAGTCTGGATCTGATACTTGTATTTTCCCGAGTTAACACAGTTGCACAGTGCACACTTCAATTACATTCAAGTTATTCAAATCAATCCACCATATTTGCTTGACTATTGAATAACCAGTAGCTGTCACATCTGATAAAGCACCTCGTAGGTGGTCACAAACCTTGTTGTGAAGCTCCAGTAGGGCAGAGTCTAAAATGCAAATGTCTCTCTCCTTCATAGTATCGTCCAGTGTTTGCTGCTTTTGTGCAGCCTTTGCTGACTTACCTAAGGTTGACTCACTGTATTTTGTTAGGTGCTGTTTCAAGTTGGTAGTATTGAATGCAGCTTTGTTTCTGCTGTAGTTCCACTAGTGTTGCTGATTTAAATTTCATGCAATTGTAGCCTATTGGAATTCAACATCAATGGATATTTTTCTGTATGTTTACTGCAATTTTTTTTCAATGTAAAACAGAATCAAAAAAAAGTATCAAGCATTGTTTTTCAGTTTGTGTTTGTTCAGTTAAAGGTTGGGTGGTTGTGGAATTCAGTTCATGAAACTTAGTTTAGTTAAAAATGAAAATCAAAAGAGAGAGAAATGAAATGTAGAGTATGTATTCAATGAAATTAGTTACAACATTACCCAATTTAACATGACTTCCTGTATAAACTATGGCCACACCCAGTCTTCTTTTCAAAAACAGACAGATCAGTTTGTTGGTTGAACAGAAACAGATAATGACTTCTCTGTACGCCTCTAATGCACTGACTATGAGCATTATGCTAAACATCAACTGACATCCTGGCATAGTTTGATTTCACCTGGTTTACTGAATTTAGTGGGTAAATAAAATCTTCTAATTTCTGGACTCACTTAATTGTAGGAAGGTCTGGAACACCAGAACTTCACATCTAATAAACCAGCTGCCATTATTACTGGATTTTGATGGAATCTAAAATCACATATTGACAGTAAAATTATGGCAACGGATGTTGTATTTTTGATCTAAAGGCAACATGTAGATAGAAAATGAGAGGCCCTAGGATTGAACCCTGTGGTACACCACAAGAAATCACAGCCTGAGAGAACAACAGAGAAACTTCTTTTATAAAGATGAAAAGAATCAATGAAAACCTGAGTTTGTGATACCAACCAGTTTATGGACATGCTGGATTCAAATTATGTTATTTGTTCAAGTTCATATTTGTTTGTGTTGTCTTCTGTGCTTCATTTTATGTTGCTTCTATCACCACTTCAACAAATTCAGACTGTCATCACACTGAAGTCTAACAGTGTGTGACTCCCTCTAGTGGACGTTGTGGAGTATTCTGTTGTCTTTGCTCCAAAGGTTTTTGTACAGAGCTTTGGTGTTTCCTGTCACTGTGGGCTGCACAGCACAGTAGTACACAGCAGAGTCTGTCACTGCAGCAGAGGAGATCTGCAGATCCAGATCGGTTTTATCATCACTCACTTTAGCAGACCATCTAGAGTTTGTTGCATTTTGTGTTCCCAAGTGAAAGATGAGGAACTCTGGTGGTTTTCCTGGATATTGTCGATACCAGAAGAAATAATCACTACCATCAGCTTTTTTAGAGTATGTGTAGGACAGAGTAACAGAGCTGC